AGGTTAGAGATAATTTGTTAATGTGCATAAAAGACTTCCTAGTTGGGTGTCAACAAAGAGTACATGTGAACTCCAAGTTATGTAAGTGGTAAACTGTGCTTGGTGCTGAGCTTCAGAGTACAGTTTTGAGCCAATGTTGTTCCTTCTGTATATAAATAACACTCCTAGTCTCCTATGCTCATCGGTTTAGTTGCATGCTGACGTTGTCAATATATGGATAGCGATAAAAAGTGAAGGTGATAGTTTAGAGCTCGAAAATGACATAGAGAAATCATCTCAGCTGTTGGAGAAACAGCCAGGCGTCGTCGCACTTATGCTGTGTATTTACAAACGAAGAATTCCTAATTGACAACCTCTCAATTCTGGCTCCCTTAGGAAAAAACGACCACGCCGTCATAGCTTTTAGTTTTATCAGCAAGACTGAGCTAAGACATCTCACCAACGACAGGCGCTCAACTTTCAAACGGTTGGATGTGTCAGCTTTACAGGACAATCCACAACAGTTGGATTGGGAATTTCACACTCAACCTTATGTGGATGCTCATTGGGATTTCTTGCTGCAAATGGCCCCAAAAATCTCCACTCAACCTACAGTCATCAAGAACCGCACTCTTCGTTTGCTGAGTCGTAAAAGACACTGTAGGGCGGAATACAAACGATCTGATAAGAACGGTGCGTACAGGCAGTGCAAAAGTATGAGGAACATATTGACAAAGGCGATAAGAGAATATAGGCTTCAGTACCAGATATAACATGTCGGTAAGTTTGTCTCTAATCCGAAAAGTTTATTCCGTTATGCAAACACTCTTCGACGGGTCAAAACTGGAGTTTCCCAAATGCTAGGTCCTAATGGCCCCGACGGTAACTACGGTGACGTTACTAACCTTCTGGTTAAACGGTACTCTCGGATATTCCAACCGCCACATATTAGTTATGCTGATGAAAGCTTCATCTGCAACTGCACAGGACTTTCCGAAGTGAACCTGAGCGTTAAACTGATGTACCGGAAACTGCAGCACCTAAGAAAAGACACTACACCTGATCCGGATATGGTTCATTCTGTTATACTGATTGAAGCAGATTCAATCATGGCAACACCGCTGAGCATGATGTTCTCACACTCACTAAGCCGAGGCACACTACCAAAAATTTGGAAGCTGGAACACATCACACCAATTTTCAAAGGAGGTCGACGCAGCGAACCTTCAAGCTACCGACTAGTGGCTCTTCTCTCTATACCTTCAAAAATGATGGAATCCCTGATATGAGACGGTATGCTCAAACGTCTTTTCACTACAACAGCATGGTTTCAGGAAGGGTCGTTCTTGTATAGCCAACCTGCTGACTGCAGTGGACAGATGGACAACCATCCATGATCGCAAGGGGAAGACTGATGTCATTTACGTTGAACTTTCAAAAGCTTTCGATAGGGTCAACCATATAAGTCTTATCAGTAAGCTCAAACGACTGGGTACCAGATCACTTCTAATTGATTGGCTCACTTCATATATAAAAAATCGACCTTTTAAGGTCAGGGTGAACTTCACTTTCTATCAGGCTATGGAATATCTTAGTGGGGTCCCCCAGGGTTCAGCACTAGGACCTTTTCTTCTCTTGATTCATATAAACGATATTCCACAACAGGTATCGTCTGACTTATTACTTTTGTTGATGATGTGAAACTTTAAAGAGAGATACGCAACCAAGAGGATATACTAGCACTTCAGGAGGATCTGAGTCGATTCCAAAGTTGGGCAGATGACAACAGGCTTTTTTCACCTTTTTTCAACCCCATTTAAGATATGCCACCGAAAACATATGGAACGGGTGACTTCATTCTGCACCATCATTAAAGCCTCTGATATTCCAGAGGGATATAAGGTTGCGGTTTCTAGAAGCCCCCAACTTGACATGGATCTATTCCCGATCATCAGTTGCACATTGCAACTCAACTTTCATAAAGCGCACCAGCAGTGATACTGACAATACGATTCGTACCAAAGCCATCGACATTCATATCTTATAAAATATCAACCCAGCTGAATAACGTACTACAGTGAAATATTATCTTTTGTAACAATTTGGTCTTACCTGTAGACTAGCATGCCTCATGTCACAAACTGTTATTTGAGAATAAATTATTATTATCATTATCACTAACGGACTTATCTTTAACACTTCAAAGTGTAAAGTAGTCCATTTGACATATATTGCAGACTACAGTTAAAACTTAAGAAACTCCTCTCCAGAAGTATCCCAAGTTGAAAAATATTTAGGAGTGCTGGTATCCTACTATTTAAAGTCTTACGCTAACTGTGACAAAAATGCCTTTCGAGCAAACCTTGCACTGGTGACATTAAAGCGCAATTTCGGCTAGTTTGACAGAAGAAATTTCCACATAATCTTCAATAGTTTCATTCGTCCCCAATTAGAGTACGGAAACAAAGGATTTCCTCCCTCACTCCAAAAGGATAAGGACACTCTGGAACGTATCCGACGGTGAGCCACAAAATCAGTTCGAGGACTCAAATCCAAGCCTTATGAAAAGCGCTTCTAATCACTAAACCTTTGCCCACTAAACTATAGGCGTCTTGAGGTGACCTTCTAATGGCTTATAGCATCCTTAACACTCCTTGACATCCCCTTAAACACCTACTTGAGTTTAGCTCCAACACAAGACTAAGGAGTAACTCCCAGAAACTGGAGACATAGCACTGCAGAACGGACTGTTAACACAACTTCTACTCCTTAGGAGTTGTCAAATGCTGGAATTCGCTGCCGGCTGAGCTAGTCCAAGCGACCTCTCAGGAGTCCTTTAAGAGGAAACTTGACATATTTTTAAGGACTAAGGATAGTATCTTACTATAATTCACCAACTTCTTTTTCCCTTTTTATCGTTAATATACCTATGTTCCTGTCTGGAGGTATTGGCGATCCATTGCTACTAGACACAGAAGGCCGTTAAGCGGAAGCCCCTTCTATTCCGTCCACAACTATCTGAACCATTTGAATGGTCTCAAATTTGACAATTTCCAATGAATTCTTTCAAGTTCATTGTGATGCATATTGGTCATTAAGGTACATATATATATACGGGGAATAACCGTGAACTACCTGTTGGACAGACACACAATGACTTGGGAGTCATTGCTAGTCAAGACTTTGAGACTATTGCACACTACCGTGAGATAGCCACCAAAAGTTCTAGAGCCATATTGTCAATATGTAGGGCCTCTGACCATGTCGATGTCAAAACCTTTTTGACTTGGTGAACAGTATTCATTCGTCCTAAACATGAGCACTACATACAAATGGCTAGTCCCTGTCTAAAGGGAGACAATGAACTGTTGAAACGGTTCAAGCAGATTCTCGGAACAGCAAAGCTCCCGTATGATAATGGACCAGCCAAACTAAACCTATTTCCATTGCTATATCGAAGAACTACAGGCGACTTGATCATAGTTTTCAAAAAACTCTTAGTGACAAATTTTCATCTGGTATGCCCTTGTCTTTCTAAACAGGAAATCTAAAAGGACACTCTAAAAACGTTCACAAGCCCAGAACAAATTACGTGTCAGCTGACCATCGATATTCACACCAAATCACCAACGAATGGAACTCATTACATCAACACGTGATTGAAGCTCCATCTGTCAGCGCTCTAAAAAGAAACTTGGACCAACTGAGAGACCACTATCACTAGGACTAACACAAACCACCTAGCCTCCTGTCCTTCCCAAACTGAAATAGCTCTAGGTCATTTAAATACCGCAAGATTCGAGCACATCGCACGCCTTGCAATGAATTGTACTAACGTGGGCCAAATAGCTGGCCTTCGATATGGATTCTACAGCCCTGATGAAATCAGAAGGTTGTCAGTTCGCAAGGTAACAAATGACCTGGCTTTCGACAAATTTACTGGTCGTGGAGTAGATGGAGGGCTTCATGACGTAAATTTCGGTAAAATATCAACATACTACTTATTGATATTTCATAGGGGTCATTGGCTACAGTGAGACCTGTGCACACTGCGGCATGGATTTTACAGATTGTCCGGGTCACTGTGGCCATATCGAGTTTTCGAAACCAGTATTCAACCCTTTCATGTTTGATGTATTGTACAAAGTAAGTGCACGTTGTTTATGTTTAATTCTTCAAGATTGTGAAGTCTTTCTGCTTTGGGTGTTTTCGCTTATACAGTGCAGAGTATCTTGCTTCAGCCTTATATCTACTTGGAGCACCAGGTAAGTGTATCTCATATAATGAAATTAATGCTCTTAGTCAGTAAGCTTCCCGGCAAACTGAAAGCTCTTGAAATTAAAGAGCTGGAAGGGTTATCAGGCGATGATTTGCGCCAAGTGGCGATTAGAAACTTAGCTACAAGGCCCCGTGCCCCTTGTAAGTTGTGCGGTAGCGGGTCTTGGGGTCTAAGGCACATTAGTAAACAACAGTTAGTTCTCCACCCAATATCTATTGCTGGCGGTAACCGTTCAAAGGCAAGAATGAAAGAGTAAGTTATAGATTTCATTTCTTACCAATGTCTAGTAATCTTTAAGGTTACTAAAAATGATGATTATTAGACCCAATGTGAGCGCATCGACGTTGAACACTAAAATACTACGGGTTTAAGCAAACACACTTCGCTTCACAAACAGTATTTGAGTCAAAAGACGAGGGTACATGTTAAATACCAGAATGTTCAAGCTCATAAACGTAGAGTACATCCGACCCTTTTACAATCGATTCAGAGCCGTTCCATATTGGTTCTTTTACATCTAATCCTTATCATTCCGAGGATTCTGCCTGATAAATATTTCATCCAGATGATTTACATCAAATGCTGTTGAGCTCATGAACCACTTTGGTCTTGTTACATGTAGCTTCTCCAAACTTAACCCCACCTTAAACAGCATCTCAACGAGTCAGGTAGTGATTAAAGATGCTAAACACAAAACATCCATCAATCAGTATAGATTCACGATTCTGTTGGCCCAAATATCACCGTAGCTTAGAACTCAAAACACTACCAGTTCTTCATCTTGTCGTCCTAAACTACAGTAGTAATACTGCGATTATTCCTACTACTAAATGCTTATTATTTTCACATCTTCCTTTGCAATGGTTGTCACAAGTATGGATTTACTGAAAGTAAAATGTATATTTCCTTTTGAGTCTCTTAGGTGTGTTTTGGGTACCAGAAGCAGTAGACATTGACAGACAACGGACTGGCGGTACTCATTCCTAGGGAGATTTAATCGATGATTACATCTTGGCTAATGCGCTTTCTCAAATATGTAAATTGATTCGTACGATAACTGACATCTGGGTTCGGCTCTGTTATATGCTCTAATTATAGTCATCTGAAAGAAAACTAGAGTAGTATGGCTCAAAATAAGCTAAATTAGTGCGGTTTTTTAATTTTTACTAATCAGTTTCATCCGTTTCTGAGTCGTATTCTCTATGTCCAGTTCACTACTAGCGTGGATATTGTTACCTTGAGTTCCCTGATTTCCACTTATATTAACTTCCTTCTGTTGCGTTGAAGTCAGTTGAAGCAACTCAAACTGATATATTTTTATCAAGCCATAAGTCGCTGTCTCTCCCCGTTTTGTTATTCTAATCAAAACCTGACTGATCAGTCGCTCTAAAATATTAACCAACTGAATCTAGTTACTAGTTTCTTTATAATACAGTTTTCAAATTCGCCAAAATGTAAGAAATAAAATAGTAGGGGTTTAATATGGTACATATAAAAATAGGGGATTTCTGATCGCGACCCAATAAGCTTTACAGATTATGCAATGGTGTATGTTCTCACCCTTTCTATCCAGGTTCAAATATTCATCGGCCGGGTGACCAGTCTTGTTAAAACATCGTTCTTTCTGAAATTCTCTTGCCCTAACATATACTACAGAGACAATGGAAACAAGATGTGTTTCTCTCATTTTCACCTCAAAATAGACTAAAAGTGTACTAATTGGGTCTGATACACTGTAGCGCTAAAGGAATTGTGTTTTCTAAAAACCCACTTCGTCAAGATAATTAGTATCCAGTCATAGGCTAGTTTGTTTGGAATATCTGAAGCACTAAGTCAGTTTAGTTTACGTCTGTCATTTTCAGAAAAGTTGTCTTACTGTCACCAAATTCCATGCTGTTGACTGGGGGTAGTTGCCTATGCAGTTACAGATACAATCTCGGTTAAGCGTCCAAGTAGTTAGATTTCACTGTTTTGCCTCATACTGGATACCCGTTCTGCAGAATTTTATTAACACTACAGACCAGATAATATAGAATCATTCACTACTAAGCGGTCAGTTGTTATGACTACATAAATGTACAAAATTACGTGTCATCACAGTATTGCTGTTTGTACTAACAAAATTTGAGTGTCACTTTCATTCATTAGTTCTAATGGTCATTCAGTTCTAAATTGTGTTCAGACAGCCGTACTAGGTTTACAACTAGTACAGAAGATGTAAGACGTGTTGATGAATCTTTTATTATTGATAAATAATGTTGTTAACGAAACCTGTTAATTTACTTCAAGAGGATGGCCTTGAGTCGGATACTCATTATCGTAACACTAACAGGTTCCCGAGCACAGATCTCATTCCGTAGTTTATTACCCTGAGCTCACTTTTTTAGTACGCCTTTGCCCGTTAATTCATCGGCCCAGTAGTCTCTTGTTTTTCATATTGCTTAATATATACACAGTTCGTTACACTTAGTTGTGTGTGCACATATTTGGGTAATTAGCTGTTTAGTATCATTCAGAAGATAAAAAAGTCTTTTTAATTTACTTCGATTTTGAATATGTACATTTACGCATCACTTTTGAATGTAGAAATATTTAGTAATCAATTTGCATTGATTTACTTTAGGATGGCAGTGTTTAAGATGTTCTCATTGCCAAAGAGACTTTTCACAGTCTCTTTACGTCATTATTGCTTTAAAATCCTCACCATGTATGTAATATTGGATAATCTCTTTCTGTAGGGAATTGGAAGAAGACTGTAGTGACCTTCTTGAAGGTTGCAAAGTAGATGACCAACGCATGGAACAAAAGTTATCTATGTTCATCGATATGTCTGATGGAAGTGAAGTTAGCAAAGCAGAAACTATTTACACGGCAAACTTATCCACTGCTCGGAATATGCTGTCTGAAGCAATAAAAAGTCAACAACACTCCAAAGAAATATGTTTCCCGCCTGGTATGTAAAAATCAATTCTAAAATAATTGTGTTATAAATTTAAAACAATAAAGCAGTAAGATACAAGGAACCAAGATGAATACTTCATAAAATATTATTGCCGAGTTACAAAGATGTAATATGACAACGTTTATAAAAATTAACAATCAGATACAGCTATAAAAGACTGCCTATTTTTTGCTTTTCATTGTACACTGTACTGTCTCTAAACAACAGAAACGGAGTCTTTTGCAGATAGTTGGTATATCAGGAAATCAGTAAAAACTTTTCGAAATGTAAATTATTACTTCTGTGGTTTCGTTCTCCAAGCTGGCTGGTCTAATTGGGAAGCTCCCGTTGTTCTTCTAAACGACATCATCAGGATAGACCTCAAGCGGAAGTGAGGCATTTGAATTTTTCCATATATGACCGAAAGATTGTCCTGCCGATCTTGCGGAAACACTAGCTATACATCTGGATAAACCAGAATTATGTGTCCATAAGAAACTATTACAACCTCTTCTACCACGGTCTTAGTTTCTCGTATCTTTTCTTTCTTCATACCTTTCTTTTCTCACAGCCATCTTCTTTCCCCTTATCTTGAACATAGAACTTTTCCCCCATCCATTTCTGTTTCTATGATCCTCTTGATTACAGTTCATTCCAACTTCAACATTTTATCATGTTGAGTCTTCTCTTCCCAGTTATAATTTCCCTATATATCTTCATAGTGATTATTCAAGCTCTTAAAAAATTATCATTAGTTTCCTTAATAAAAATAACGCTTTAATCCCTTTGTTTATTCTACCTGACTGTTATCATGTTTAGCAGAACTTTTATCACAACTACTGTAGTTATTTTCATTTAAAAAAAAAGATTCAGTATATATTTGTGATTTTATAGCTTTGAAAATGAATTCGCCGAAAAGGGAACTCTTCGCTGAACCAATCTTATTTTGTCTTCATCTTATTGTTAGTAACATTATCAACATTATTACTGAAGCTTCCTTACTCGAACACTATTGGTTAGTCCAAATTTTACAGTGGACTATCATATGCAGTCTTTACTTCAAGCGTAATACCTCAGCACCACCAATCTCTTTATTTTATCTAATCGTAAAAACCCCTAAATGTTTGTTTTTCCGGTTTTTGGACTAAGGCATGACGTTATATAAAGCCGTTGATCTTCATTTTGAACCGTATAGTGGGATGCGAACTTCCTGGTCGGGTTATGTGACATAACTAAAAGCAGTTACTGGCTTTCTTCCGTTCTACTGATTTACAGTGTAGCAAGTTGAACCATTACATATTTATTCTAGGTTCGTTGTTTAAGACTGTGTCCGTTGATTTGAATGAACTAGTTCACATACGTTTATTTTATGTATTCGTAACGGTGGAAAGTCATTTGACTGTTACTTGTAATACGATTCTAAGGTTACCGTGTATTCTTACTCATTGTCCTAATTATCTCGATTTTCTTCACCTAATAATATAATTACATGAGTTATTCCCTCTGAGCTCTATAGACGAGTTGATTCTTTTTACCATGGATGCAAGCGTCTTTCAATATGTAAGATTTGATATTCATGTGCATCATTTTTTTGTTTATTCATAATTCAAACGTTCTTAGTAACATTTCGACGTTTTCTATTATTTAAGAGATGATCCGTATAATGCTGAGGTGTCTCTGGGCCCATGACGGGGATCTTTTAGTACTATTATTTCCTATGCTTAAAGCTGCAAGATTAAACCACACATTTCCTACCGACGTATTTTTTATGGATAATGTTCTGTTGTCTCCTTCTCTTTGTCGTTGGGTAAGAAGTTTATCTTGAGTGTTGACTCTTCAATGTAGTATAATGTCCATACCCTGTTTCTAAGTATATACATAAATATTTGTTAACAGGACTGTTTCTTTTCTGCCCTTTAACTTATCTAAAATTTACAAAAACCGAAGACCGACTAATTCCTTAGTAGTTATATTTATACCACCCTTTTATAAAAGGATCCCTAGGATGCTTAATTCACTAAAATACTAACATATGCACACACAACATCCAAGGGATTTGTAGTTGAAGCTAGTAATCCTGATTAGCTGGCTATCTTCTTTTATTGTTTAAGTATAACTTTGTGCTAATGGTGTCCGGAAACATAATGAATTCCTTATAATTAAATCATTTCACTCGGGGAATCCAATATTATCAAAATCAACTTCCTGATTTACAAATTTCCACCACAATATATGTCTTTCTTAGAACACAGTATTATAGTGTAAGGTCTAATGTTCCTGGCTAATTATAAATTTATTGTTTTGTTCAAACATTGAAAAAGTCTATAGAGGATGGTCGCGCAACGTCGTGGATTGGCTAACTTTAGACCATAACTTTTTTGGATACTAACTCAGTGGTCTAGAGGTTAAGTGTTCGCGTGCAAAATCTAAGGTATTGGGCTCGATTACCAAGTGCGGAATCGTGGATCACGCCCATATACTCGAACAAAACGGCCGCCCAGTGATTCCAGGTTTTCAATGGTGGTCTAAGTTAGATCGCTTCATGATTTCAATGAAATTCAACAGTCTTCACTACCCCATACTGAAAATTCAAGAATCATGTTCTAGTATTGGATCTGCGTATTCCATAACATCGGTAAATCCCTGTAAACTCTAGTAGTGGCATACTTTGTGCTCACTTTAACCTAAATTTCAATAGTCACAGGCCGAATTTTAGAAAGCCGAGAGGTACTTCTCTGTGTGATAATAATGAAGCTGATTTATCACCCTAAATATTAGATGGAATTTCGGTTGTTGTCTTTGTATTGCATTTGATTCGATGAAGCGAAGTATACTAATTTTTTATTTCAGCCACGGCATGTTGGAAATTTGGTTTATGAGCATCCGGAAACTGCTGTTTATGTCCGTATTGTAAAACGAGCCCAATGTTTACACAATATCGTAGAGTTTATCCGTCAACGCAATGAAGTGAGCAATTCTGCTGATGTAAATAAACCTCCAGAACCAAAGTCCACAACTAGTGATGGTGGTCTGATTGATGATGCACAATCAGATGGTGCACTTAAACTTGCAACTGTGCTTCTTCAAGCGGCTGTTAATGGAATATACGATATGAGTATGGCAATCACACCTCTAGGACTAGAGTCCAGAAGTGGAATCAGCAGTAACGCAGTTCGACTACCCGGCCTAAGACAACGTTTAGAAAGAAAAGAAGGTCTCTTCCGTATGCACATGATGGGAAAACGTGTTAATTTCGCATGCCGTTCTGTTATTAGTCCGGATCCGAATCTCAGTGTTACTGAGGTGAGTTTTTATCTCATCTAAATTCATTTCATGAACCATTAATTTAAGCCTTAGTTACCGGTATCTTGTATGAGCCACTAATTCTTTATTGAAATATAATTACGAGCCAATCACTAATAATACGAGGTAGTGTTAGTCTTCCTAATATTTCCAAATACTATTACGTTATACAGCCTTCCTTATTTCCTGTGTTTTATCAGTCTCAATATATTTTAGAACGTTTTCAACAAATGCTATCTTGTAGAAAGTTATCAGTTAGTATGATCTTTTTTCTTTACATTCAGCTAGTTTTTAAAACAATTGTCTCTTAACTTCATTTCACCCACCAATCAGAAGTATTTTGCTGTTCAATATCCACAAAAGCTAATTTTAAGAGTATTATTCCTATATTAAGTAACTCAGTAATCCTAGTTATCATATTTTCCTATCAAAAACAATTTTTGTGTAGTTCACACTTGACCAAAATATGAGATATGCATAATATCATTCCTATCCTAAGTTCGTATATCTTTGTATCACTTATGTTTCACTTACCACTGACCTTTATTGAGATCTTGGGAAGTTTTGATGTTTCTGTGAGCGTTTATTGAAATGATTTATTCTCCAGTACGGTCAAGTTCTTTGACTCTGTGACTTAGTGACTTAAACACTCTACTTTCATTTATTGGATGATAGGTTCGAATTGCGCTCTACCTATTATTTATTTGTTTATTTATTTGGACACATGAATATTGGTACAAGAGAGCGCCAATATATATGCGCCACACAAAACAATGAAAATTCGAAAGGAATACAAAGAAAGAAAAAAAAAGCTAAGGAGCGCAACAAAAAAAAGAGAGAACAATAACGAAGAGATTGGTGTAAGGTAATGTGCTAATAATCAGGGAACGCAAAGGTACAATCGGAAGAAATCTTTCAGGTAAGGGAGACACAACCACTTTTTATGAAGAAAGTAAAAGAAGGTTACAGCAGGATCGCCATCGGCTTCTATTCTGAGCCATATCTGATAACGTCTCTAGCCACTGTGTAGCACCATCTCTCAGACCCCAACCAGGGAGTCGTGAAGGACCAACACAAGCCAGTCCTTTGCAGCTTTCTTTCATGCCACGACACCATGTCATGCACTGACCACCTCTCTGCTTCTTCCAACCAGTCCCAGAGTCGGCAAATAATGCACGACGTGGAATTCTCTGGGACGACATTCGGAGAACATGTCCAAGCCACCGAAGTCGGTGTTTCAAGATGGTGACACCAATTGAATTATCATCTCTGTGCCCGAACACACGATGCCGAGCCTCTACATTACTGACATGGTGTTGCCACTGAATGTCAGCAATCCTTCGGAGACAGCGATGATCGAACACAGAGAGTCGTCTAACGTCCTCAACATGGAGAGACCAGGTTTCACAAGCATAGAGCAAAACTGCTCTCACCGACGCGTTGTAGATCCGACCTTTTACAGCCAGACTAACATCACGAAGGCATCAAAGGTGGCCCAGATTGGCATAAGCCGCTCTGGCTTTCACTATACGTGCATTGATCTCATCACTCACACCCCCACCAGCACTTATGCAGCTACCCAGATACACGAACTTCTCGACTACGTCTATCTGCTCACCATCCAGGGTGAGTACAGGATTGGAATCCTGCCAGTCTTGTAGGAGTACTTTGCACTTCGAAGGTGCAAAGCACATACCATACCTACGGACACTGATTGCCAACTGATTAAGTGCGGATTGCATGCCTTGGGCATTATCGCACAGTAAGACAATATCGTCCGCATACTCAAGGTCGAGAAGTCTTTCTCCAGGCAACAGATCCACACCGTCATTACTTACATCTATCAGAGCTGTTTCCAGAATGTCATCGATGGCAAAGTTGAAGAGGAATGGTGAGATTGGGCAACCCTGCCTAACCCCACTACTCGAATGGAACAATGGAGAAAGGTGGTTGTATGCCCTCACTCTGCCTGAGGTGTTTTTATATAGGGCTTTTAGGATGTTAATAAACTTCTCAGGCACACCCTTCTTCAATAGACAATCCCAGAGAACAGTTCTGTCCAACGAATCGAAGGCAGCCCTGATGTCAAGAAACACTACGATTGTTGGCCTTTGATAAGTATGGCGGTGTTCTAACATTTGGCGGAGGGTGAAGATATGATCAATACATCCTCGACCAGAACGAAACCCAGCCTGCTCCTCGCGAGTCAATCTTTCTCGGGTTTTGAACAACCTACGAAGTATGACGGAAGCCAATAGCTTGGACGCAATCGGAAGTAGACTTATCCCCCGATAGTTGTTACAGGAACGACGTGAACCCTTTTTAAAGATAGGGACAACTATCGATTCATTCCATGACGTTGGCACACTCTCTAGTTCCCAAACCTTTGTAAACAACGTCGTCAATTCCTTAGTCAAAAAGTCACCACCATCTTTAAAAAGAGCCGGAGGTAAGTCATCTGGGCCAGGTGATTTGTAACGCTTCAAGAGTTGGAGTTCCTTGCGGACTTCCTCCTCGTTTGGTGGATCAGTCGTCACCGGGCATGGAGGGCAGGACAGTCTGACCGATGTTGCTGGAGCAGCAGGCCAGTTGAACTGCCCTTCGAAAAATTCTGCCCACCGTCCAAGATGTCGATGGATGTTAGTGATTGGCATCCCATCATCCTCGCAGATTGTTTCACTCACACCAGACTTCTTGCTGCCAGTGGCTCGGATGAGCTGGAAGAGCTTCCGGTAATTACCAGATGCAGCTGCTGCTTCCAGCTCATTAGCACGCTTCGACTACAGGCTTCTCGGTCCTTACGCAAGCTTTGCCCAATTTCCTTACATAACATCCTTCGTTTATGGTCAAACTCACGGTCACCCGGAGTAGACCGACGGGCTTCAATGAGTTATAAGGAACCAGAAGAAACCCAGTGCTTAAAAGCGGGATGTTTCGCAAACCCACAACTGACTGTTCCCGCCATTTTCATGGCGTCATGCAATTGCAACCAATGCTCATCTATACTTTTCGGTGGAGTGGTAGCTAGCCTAGAGGCTAGCTCGGTTCGATACTTATTTGCAACAGAAGTTGCAACCAGCTTGCTAACATCAATCCGTTGGTGGTGGTCACTTCGTTGGCCACTGAAAAGTAAGGCAAGATTGGCGCAGACCAAGGCATGGTCAGAGTCCAGATAGGTACTCCAAAAGGAGCGGCAGTCTTTTACACAACCACGCCAGCGGTAGCTGATCGCGATGTGATCAATCTGAGTCCAGGCTTGGGATGCAGAGGGAGGACGCCAGGTGGCACATCGGCGATGACTGTGCCGAAAGTTAGTGCTAGCCAGAAACAGGTTGTGGTCTGTGCACAGTTGCAGTGGACGGTCCCCGTTATCTGACCTGCGACCAACGAGTCCCCATCGGCCACCTAAACGACTCTCTTCTGTGCCTAGACGCCCGACCTGAGCATTCAAGTCTCCGGCTAGTACTACAATATCTGTCGAACGCACTTTCTGGAGAAGAACAGATAACTGGTGGTAAAACTCATCCTTGATTGCATCCGGGCTGCAATCTGTCGGGGCATAGGCGGAGATGACGAAAAGACATCGTTTCTCACGCCGATTTCTTCTCACTTTGATGGAACTTTCTAATCTAACAGCATATAACCGACTGTTAATAGGGATCCAATCGACTAGTGCTGCCTCAGCTCTAGCGCTTAGTGCGACACCAACGCCTGCAAGACCAGACGAAGATGCCACAGGGTCCCCGGATAAGCGCACGTAAAACAAGCTTTTTGAAGTGACAGATGTAGAGCGAATTTGTAGTACTTCGCTAGAGTCTTGAATACGGGTCTCGGATAGACAACAAACATCAATATTAAGACTTTCCAAAGACATAGCCAGCCCTATCTGTTGACCAACCTGCATAAGTGTGCGAACGTTGAAGGCAGCCAGTTTGAATGGCGCACGTGGTTTCAGAAAAACTGCTTCAGTATTCATATTCGATGGTAACATACAACTTTCAACCGGACAGTGACTCGAGAACGTTTAGATAGAGTCGGATTTCCACCAAAGACGAGCCGCTGTATAAGTATAAAAGAGGGTGAATAATGTGGGAAATAATAATAATAATAATCATAATAATAATAATAATAACGACAATAATAGTAATAATAATAGTATTAATAATGACAATAATAGTAATGATAATTATTTGAGTCGACTGATTGTTTTTCGGAGCGATAAAAGTAGTTGCCAAAGACATAGAGTTCATCGTTTGTGTGTGGGCTGTGATACTGCCCGGGTGCCCAAACCGAAGCAGGTGGTTTTCTTAGGGGGCCACTCCCCGAGCCTTTGACCTAAAGGTCTAACCCACAAGGCAGTGGAGCATCGTAAGGAGATGCAATCCCATGGTAGCCGGTGACCAAAGATTGGTTCATACGCCATTTGTTCCCGCAGGATACTGGAGCCCATGTGCACCATTGGTTTGTGATCCGGTTAAAGCGCCGGACATTCGCTTTTCGTCCTCTCATTTTCGTAAACAACACCCCAGCCACGAGAAGGCAATGAGTAGGACTTCCCTGGCAGAGGCTGTATACGCGCGGCCGTGTGAGAGTATTTCGAGAGGGAGAGCGGACTCACATGGAGTATACATAATTGGTACCTCCTTGTATAAATGTTCATGCGTTTAAATAAATAAATGATATGCTATGTGATATTCGATTTCATGCCTCTACACTCTCCTTTTGTTGAATCCCAGTCATGCTTCTCATTGTTTATGGCTATTTAATTGATTTGGGTGAAATCATAACACATTCATTTTCAATATTGTTGCATATTCAAAACGTCTGTACTTTTTACAATGCTTATTACCGACCTAGTTGTTATTTACGCAGTAAGTGGACCTCTGCTTTACTTCACAGAGCTTTTAATACCACAAACATCGTATGTATTTCCTTTATTTTCGGGATTTATGTAACTACATTTTACAATGATTTAAGTAATGCGTCTTTGTAACAAAGTGCAAGTTTGTGTACTCAGTTTTGAACCATACGTTTTATTTGAGAGCTCAAGCGGAGTAGGTAAGAATGAGTTCCAACTCCGCGACTTTTAATATTTGGTGTTATGCAATAAAATAATGCATAATTCTTCTCTACTCAGAAAGTCTTTTTATAATTAAATAATATAATCCGTATTTGATTTTGGTGGAATAGTTGGAATCCAAGACGTACACTCTCGGTATTAATAAATTTGTTTGCATTGAATATGGTGCCTAATAGATGATGTTATGTACCTTAAGCCTTTTTGCTAATCATTGGTTATTGCTCACTATAAGCTATAGTATAATAGTGTAGTATAATAATATTTCCCTTGTACAAATTTGCTGCAAGTGTCAAACAGATAAAAATAAAAGAATATACGATATTTTTAATTTTGTCTATTAATGTCCATAATATTCAGCTGTATACGCTTGTAAATTATCTACTCATCATATACTTCATATTATATATTGAGATACTTTAACACATTTTATTAACTAATTAACTGTTTCCTTATCAATATTTAGGTTGGAGTACCGTTATTTTTCGCATTCCGTTTAACATTCCCAACACCAGTAACAAAATTCAATTTAGTTCATTTACGTCAATTAGTAATGAATGGACCAAATAACTATCCAGGAGCTACAAGTATTCAGTTTTCAAATGGTATCATTACTATGCTGCCGCCAAATGATACTCCACAGGCTAAAAAAAAACGTGAAATGTTAGCTTTGCGGTTAAAACCACTTATTTCGGGTAAAGATAACATACCTATCGTTGTAAGTAACATGTTCTTTTTTTTAAAGAAAAATATTCATTCCACTGTTTCTATCCAATAGTATACAATACGTTTTGCATTACATTTTCTCAATTTTACTTCAATTCTTCCCAGGTTAATCGTCATCTACTTGATGGTGATATGCTTATTATGAACAGACAACCAACCCTTCATCGGCCTTCAATGCAAGCACATCGTGTTCGAATAATAAAGTGTTCTGGAGCAAAAACTCTCCGATTACACTATTCAAATTGTAAAGCTTACAATGCAGATTTCGATGGGGACGAAATGAATGGTCATTTTGTTCAAAGTTATGCAGCAAAAGCTGAACTTGAAACATTAGGTAAACTAATCACTTAACTTTGTTCTGATCTGATCTGCAGTACTACCAAGTTTTGGTAAATTTGGATTGTGGCTAGCAGTGTCATCCAGGACCCGCGGTTCGTCAGTTGGATGTACTTGCAACCCAGTGTTGATGTTCACACCCGGACTCAACATTAGGATCTTGGTACATTCGGTTGATAAGTTACAAATAGAACGAACGCGCATCCTGGATTTCACTAATAGCCACAGCCCAACTTTATTAAGACTTGTGTTTAAAATACAGTATTAAGGTAATCCCCTCAGGATTTACTTATGCCAATAAAGACTGATCAATTTCAAGAAAACTGGTAATCGTGTATATACCGCATTTGATCAGTGTGACTTGCTTACGGTATTAGTTCTAATTTAATGGTTTTTGATTTATGAGAATGTATTTATTGATCCCTGGTATGATATAAGTTATCTACGTAGATCTCGTAATACAATAGTCTTTTGTTATACATTAGTTTAGTTTAGTTTAAATTATTTCACTAAATAGACTATCGCTTACTTACATTCAGAAACACTAGTTTCGTATGTTTCTTTTTTTTTTCAAAAGTCGTCAGTTATGTTTCAATTTAGACTCGAAAAGGTGCGAACCAATTTTTTGATTGAATCTTCATTCAGTGAACTTCTTCCCATCATTTATTATTGACAACTATCTCTAAATTTTAAAAGAAATTCACTCATTATCCGTATCCACTGCCAAAACTTGTTTCTTCCATAATCTGTAATAATTTTTTATCGTGTTATATCTTTTCAGAAAGCATTTCCTACTGATATTTGTTTATTTATGCTCATTGTTTTATGTTATTATTTTTTATTGAATTTGTGTTTAGCTTCTGTTCCACATCAATATTTAGTACCTAAAGATGGAACACCACTTGCTGGGCTTATACAGGATCATGTTATAGCAGCAGTTAAATTAACAATGCGTGATCGGTTTTTCGAGCATGCTGATTATTTGGATCTTGTATATCATGCTCTTCGACCTTTATTTGCTATAAACAGACAAACATCTTCGGGCCCACCATCTATTATAACAGTTAAACCTGCAATATGTTGGCCGAAATGTCTCTGGACTGGAAAACAAGTACTTTGATCTATATAATGCTTTTAGCACGTTTTTTGTATTGATTTCCCCCCTCCTATTTCATCATCATTTAAACCATTCATGTTACTATTTACAAATTTACTTGTCAGCTTTACAAAGGTTTCAATATTACTTGATTAGTCTCATTTTAACGGAGCTGGTGTACAATTATTGTTAACTTGATAACTGACAACTAAACAATGATTCATCAGATTACTAATTTAGGATAAGCACACCCTTATTGTCTACAGTAATATATTCAATTTTGTTAATAATTATATGAAGAATTAAGTGACCTTTATTTAGTAGAAGTTTAATATATTATTATCTCTGGATGATATTATTCACTTTCGAATTCTAGAAACTTCTCTAACGCCTCTGATAAATATTAGCTATCTGTGCAATCCCGTCATGTTATTCAAGATGTTAAATCTATAAAAAAAATCACTTGACTGTTATTTTTGGAAATTTGGATTTAATCTTTTTTTGCGCCAATAAGTCCTCACTGCAAGAAGAAGCAAATGTGTATCTTAGTTATTTGGTATATTTGAATTATTTTTTTGGTCGCTTTCAATATGTCACGGGCATCAAATATAACTGAACAAGCATATCTGCTCGTCTAATAATAACAAAGGTGAGATCGACTTGGTCAGTATATGCTTTGAGATGGTATCAATATGTTGTTTCATTTAGTAAGAAATGACAGCCGACTCACTGACATCACTCAGTGATTATGTAGTCGTAAATAACTTAGAACCAAGTGGGTGATCTCATCACGCTTGATAAGATAAAACGCTACCAATACGTTCAGATGATTATCTAATATTTATATTTTTTCTCTTTTTCAGGTTATTTCAACATTGTTAATAAATCTCACACCTTCAGGTTTATTACCACTAAATGCTACCCTTTTAGGTCGACGAACTAAAGCTGAACTTTGGTCTGGAGTTGCTCCCGGTGAACCAACACCATTATCCGATGTAGATTTAGTTATATGTGATGGTTATCTTGTATCTGGCATGTTAGACAAATCACATATCGGTTCAAGCAGTACAGGTTTGATACATTGTGTATATGAAGCATATGGTCCTGAATCTGCTTCATGTTTATTAAATGGGATTAGTTTACTAGCCAATAGGTTTTTAAAATTCATTGCCTTCACAATGGGTTTGAAAGATATTTTACTTTCACATAGAGCAGATGAAGAAAGACAACGTCGTTTCAGTAATCTTAAAGATCTTGGCCTCTGTGCTTTTGCAGACACATTCAGTTTAAAACCAGACGAACTAACCGAACATAATGTGAAACGTTTATATCGTCATGCACAATTCCCTTCATCTACTGACCAGTCTTCTCAAAAGCGTCTTGCTCAGTTGGACATGGCAATTAAAGATCGACTAAAAAGGGCGCAAGATGCAGTATGTGACTCTGCGATCCCAGGAGGCTTATATGTCGGTTTTCCAGAGAATAATTTACAACTCATGGTTCATGTTGGTGCTAAAGGTGGTATGGTAAGCAAGCGTTTAGATTTTTATTACATGCCATAAATACCCAGTTCATTGTAAAATAAAGCTAGAAACAGTGATTAAATTGTCTTCGTGGATTTTATACTCGTTAAAAAAGGGCAATCAACAAGTATATAGGAGTTTTTATACAGAAAGTACAAATATCGGGCTAAGGATATCTCAAAACATTTACAAATGTCAATGTTCGCAAGTTACTTTCGATGATAACAGTTGAGTAAAATTTACAAATAATGCTCAGGCTACTTTTAGATAGATAGTAGTAGTTTCACAGATTGAAATCATGAGTCAGTTGAAGCTAGACCACCATAGAAAACCTGGAAGCACTGGACGGCCGTTTCGTCCTAATATGGGACTCCTCAGCAGCTCGCATCCATGATCCCGCACACCGCGGGGTTCGAACCCAGGACCTACCGGTTTCGCGCGCGAGCACTTAACCGCGGGGTGCGGGATGGTGGATGCGCGTTGCTGAAGAGTCCTGTACTAGGACGAAACGGCCGTCCAGTGCTTCCAGGTTTTCCATGGTGGTCTAGCTTCAAATGACTCACGATTTCAATCTGTGGAATTTCTAAAATCTCCACCAACCCCTTCAAATAGTAGTAGTGTTAAATGACAAAAGTTTGGTGGAATTTTGAAATTTTTCCGATGGTACTCTATAATATTCTGAGAATTTTGTTGATAATATTCTAGTACCTAGGTGCTACAACTTTCTTTTGATAAAAGTAATATCCACGACTTCTGAAACTTAACTTTTGTACAGCAAATTTTGTTTATGCTTCGAGCTGATCCTATGACTAAATTAATTTCTAATTTTGCTCTCCAGATATTGATAATCGATATCTGTTTGAATACTTTTGTTATTTGTACGCTTCCTTCCCTATGTTTTACTATGCCAGACCACTTTAAATAGTTTTTTCCCCATCTTCACTGTGTTCTCAAAAGTTTATCTTTAATTTTATCCATTTTTTATTTTTATTTATCATTTATTTCAAAGGTTAATGCTCAACAAATGTCTGTCGCTCTTGGTCAGATTGAATTAGAAGGTCGTCGTGTCCCACTAATGCTAAGTGGCAAAACACTACCTTCATTTCCACCTTACGATGTTCGTCCACGTGCTGGTGGTATGTGTACTGCTCGATTTCTCACTTCACTACCTGCACAAGAGTTGTTTTTCCACTCGATGGCAGGTAGAGATGGTCTTGTTGATACAGCTGTAAAAACTAGTCGATCAGGTTACTTACAGAGGTCAGCTATTAAACATCTAGAGGTTAGTTTTCTATATGGACTACAATAACTCATCACTTTGCTTATTTAAGGTAATCTTACACAATCTGTAAAATTCTGTGTGCTAGTTCCTATTATCCAGTAGTGATTAATAGCTAACAGTTCCTCAAATTTAGCTTCTTTTTCGTGATATTTAGGTGAAAATTCACTATACAGAGAAAAAATAAGGAATCAGAGTTGATTCAAGACTACTAGTTCTGGTTGACGCATCATTGGTTTAGCACAGGGACAAGGTTATAGAAGTAGGTATTCTGATGGGCGATTTTGTCACGTGATAAATGACGAGCCAAAGGATATAACAGTTCCTCCAATTGTCCAGTGCTTCTTTAGTTTCAGTCTCATCTTGGAAACCACCAGGTAGTGATCTGAAGCTATGTCAGTTGCTGTCCCAGTTCTCACGTCTTCTATTGACCTGAATTTTTTTACTGATGTAAATATGATCTATCTGGTTCTCTGTAGTGTGATCCACTGGGACCCATGTCGCTTCATGTATGTGTTAATGGGGGAATATTGTGCCACCTACAACCATTTTGTTGAATGTATATAAATTTGCGAATCTGTCACCATTCTCGTTTCTTTCTCCCAGTCAGTCATGTCGTCTCATGATATCTTCACACCCATTGTTGTCCATTTCGACCTTGACGTTTAGGTCTCCCGTCAGGATGGCCATAGTCGTTTTCTACGGGACGAGATCACTGACCACCTTCCTCCTTTACCCGGGTCGAGACCGTCAGAAACCCTAGAGGGGCTACATGTGGTTATTAATTCATCACTATAAGATGAAATTGTAAAGATAAATGACAAGGAAGTAAAAGTAGTAACAGTGTTGGTGGTAGTAGAAAAGATTACACATAGAAAATCTAATTCGATAAGGATTAATAGGCTCCCATAATAAAAAAGCACGAAATCTAATGAAAGGCAAATATCGCATATATCTATGGTATTCCAATTGATTCAGAGCTATGTCAATCAATGTATCCAGCATTTGGATACGATAATCCTACAGAATCATGATCTAAGATTACTTTCACCAACAAGTTGTTCATTTTACAGCTTACTATTCATCTCTTTCACTTAATGTCGGTTATTCATATTTATAAATTTCGTTTTCTTTATTATTTATACACGAACACACTTTTCACAGGATTTAAGCATAAGTTATGATGGAACAGTGAGAGATTCAGGATCTAATATAATTCAATTTCGATATGGAGACGATGGAGTGGATGTATGTCAAGCTGGATTTTTACAACCTATTGGTTTACATTTCTTTGCTGATAATGTAAATCTAATGAAAATGCGTTGGCATTCTGATAAAATCAATACTGATAATCCAGCATATGCTCATTTGTTTGAAAAAAACACACTTCCTAAACCTATACAAATAATGGCAGACCAAGTTGGTGTTAAGAGACAATGTGTACGTTTAAAGTATAATTCAATAGTATTGTTATGAATTGTTTTTTGTAAATTTGTGCATTCAACTTTCAAAGGTCGATAACATAATACTTTGATTGTTCTGACTTATGACATCAATTATTATTCGGATGATAATGAAACATACTCAATTCTCTCTTATAGAAGACTTATTCATTTGATATTGTCTTATTTTACTCACGGTACATAGTTTTTAATGGTGTTTTTAGTATAAGTTTGTACGTAAATTATTAAGTGTATTGTCGACGTTTGTGTGGATCCATCTGTGATCATCTATTCTATTATTAACGCTTGGATTATAGTAGCTAAACAAAATAACAAATACATAGTTAGGAAATATAGGTATGTATCATTTCATAGACAAATTGAATGACTTGTTTTTCATTACCATATAAGAGTTGTCAATATAACTGCTTTTTGAGTTCACTTGTATAATGAATAAGATTTCTGTTTCTGATATGAAGGACAAGATCTCAGCTCATTGGAAATTGAATGGTCTGGACAATTTTTATCATCCAGCCGCTTGTACTATGTAATCATGTTTATTTTCTTATTAGCATATATGTAAACATGTTATTTTGTTAAAATAAAATCATATTTTGGCCATTAGTTTGGTCTTATATTAGTTTAATTGGAGACCTTACACCAATAATTCGGTCTAATGAACTGCCATCGCTTATCCAGATTGCATCATCGTCTATTATCAAACAATCAATCAATATTGTATCCATTAATTTAACCATCAAATTCTTAAATGTTTGTTCATTAAATTATAAAATCTATTCTATAGAATTGTGTAGGCAAATTATTTAAACTTAGAATAACTTAAAGATTATAACAACAATAGTATATCGATATTTTTATAATACGATTAGTAGAGAACCATTAAATACCGATGCTAAAGTTCTCAAAACAATAATACAGTATGAATATTTTGTAAATGTGTAACATCTACTGTGAAAGGAGTTTTGCACCCATTCTAATCTAATGTAATATACAATAGAAAATTGTAATTTTAGTGTTTTATTCACTTCTCATTTTTTGTTCCTAATAGATATCAATGAGAAAAAAGTATACTCAATCTTTAATGAGCAGTAAAACAGATCACTTTTAACGTTATTGTTGATCCATACTGTGTACTTTATGTTGATTCAGCACTAGAGACAATGAATATCCTTTTTTATGACTGTACAAATTGAGAAATAACCAATGACTCGTGTTTGTTTTAAGGTTGTTCCAGTTTGTTTTTGTAATCATATTACATTGATTAATTTATTTCCATATTTTAATGCTAGCCTTCAAAACTGTGTACCATCATATTAAGTTATATTATTTATGATATGAGGTTAATTTATTTGTAAAAGGTCATCTTGACTTTAATTTTCACTTCTAGATCATTCAAACTTTTCTTGATAATTCATGTGTATGTGCATTTGATTTCGTGTTGTTTTGTTTATGATCTAGTTTAATATTAATAATTACTCTACGTGGATTTTTCAATGGAATCTAATTTTTTAATTTCAACTTGTTTGACATTTTAGATTCTACATAAAACTGTATCAAAGCATAAACTTGTCAAGCTTCTCAACAGTAGTAAGATGGCTCATAAAGCATTAAAACTAATGGAAACAGAAGAGAAAGCATCCGGAAAAGATAAGATAATGAATGAAATAATCCCTGAACCACCATGTGCTACAGCGGCTGAACTAAGAGATTTATGTTTAGCCAAAATTATTAACGCTCAAGCACCACCTGGTGATCCTGTAGGTTTATTGGCTGCACAATCAGTTGGTGAACCTTCTACTCAGATGACATTGAATACTTTTCATTTTGCTGGACGTGGTGAAATGAATGTAACTCTGGGAATACCACGCTTACGAGAGATCCTCATGTCCGGATCATCCAATATAAGTACACCATGCATGGAAGTTCCTATATGGCCTACCAAAGAAGCTCAACAACTTAGCGAACAAATAGCTAAGAAATTTTATAAACTGAAATTATCTGAGGTGATTCAAACAGTTTTTTGTTTTATTTTTTCAATGTAATATTTTTTTTAGATATATAATGATACAAATAACTGCCCTATATACACGCATGTTTATATTGCAGACTTTAAAATTACCTATTGGTCAAAAAGTGAACTATGTATCCGATTCGTGTACATTTGAATTTAATTTACAACCGAAATCAGTCTATTCTGATCAAAGTCATGTAACACCTGTTCGTGTTTTACGTTTTCTTGAACGTATTCTATTCCCAGATTTAGCTCATCGTTTAAATGAAGAATTAAAAGATCAAGGAAAAACTAGGTATGTAGGAATTATTCTTTTTTTCTTCAATAATTAATTGTTATTTACTTTTTGATATATTTTACCAGTTTGTTACTTGTTCACTAAGGAAAAACTCTTTCTTTTTCGCCTATGATTATTATTTTAAACACTGAAAAATGAAAACCTAAGTAATAGTTTGTTTAAATGTACATATTTTTTGCATAGACTCGAAAGTAGGGTTGTATATCATTATAACAGGTTGATTCCAGCGAAATTAACCTTTATTGTTGACAGATGGTACAGAATCGTTTTAAATTGTAACAACGTATATAAAATAGACGTTGGCTCTGATTAACTTTCTCATAAATAGCTTATTTATCGTTTAATTATACACAAGATATAATTTAACATCTCTACAGTTATACAAAAAGGGGATAAAAACGTAACTACCCATTTGTTTTTATTTAGTTGTGAATAATTCAAACCAGATTTTACTCCATTTGCTACTTTCAAGATAATTAATTATGTCCTGCAAATATACGTTTATTCATTATGTACGTGTGTGTGTGTGTGTGTGTGTGTGTGTGGAGTACTTCAATGAATTTTTAATTGAAGCTTCGTCATATTTCTAAAAAGCAAATCTCTTTCTTGGTTATCTTTTGGTTGTCTTTACCTTTATTTTTTTAAAATACACTTGTTATTGGATAAATATGTATCATAATAATTGGATCGTTATGACGAATCAGATAAATTTCTATTATTCACACTTAGATAACTTACATTTTCTGATTATTCAATACTCGGTGTTTGGTTAATTGTGTCTGTGTTTAACAGCATGTAACCAAATAAATCAGATTATGAAATTGTTTGTTTTGTTTAATGATACTAGATTTTATTATACTTGAGACATAAATTAACGTGTTATATTTTCTCTAAATGAGCTACATATGCATATTTTGATATGAGATATAAGATATCTTTAATTGGAATCATAATAACAGTATTTACTATCCTTGAATGCGGATTTAAGTTTTCCAAACAGCCTTAGTTTTCTTGAAAAAGCTTGGAGCAGATTGCCAGGCGAAACGCTGGATTTACTTTAAATCCTTTCGCTGAGATTTTACAAATACATTCTTCCTCTTTTTATAGCCTTAGTTTTCTTATTTCAACTATTCTTGAACATTAATATCGACATATGACGACAGACAGTATAGCTGAAAATCAGTTATACAGCATATGAAAATCTTTTTATATTTATACTCTTATATTAAAATCGAAAATGGATGATTCTTCATGGAGAACATCCGTCGATCACTTTTAATGAATATGGGGTGTCAAATTAGCCAGACAGTGTTTGTATTTGAACCAAGTGTATAGGATTTTAGAATTCTTTATAATTTTGCTTAGTGTATAATAAACAATAGTCAGGACTACTATTATTTATTATTTTATTTATTCAACGAACAATTTACAGTACCAACAATAATCTCATCAACGAAGTAGAAGTATTGAATAGTACACTAATAACGAGTCGTTACGGCACTTTTGATTATAGAACTCCAACCTTTGTAAACAAAACAATCTTGTTCAACTACTAGGAAACTACGATTTTACAACAAACGGGATCAAATCCAACTAAACAAACGAAGCCTGAATAATATTTCTGTGCAAACTAAGTCGATTTTGGTTGTTACTTTTGATTGGGATTATTCGTTTGAACTATGAAGACTAACAATATATTTGTAATATCCTAATGAGTAGAAAAATTAGATTTTCTGACGTTTCGTGACTCAGTGTAAGCCACTTCCTCAGAGAATAAATTTATCTAATTTTTCTACTCATTGGGATATTACAAATACATTATTTATTTATACCAATCTACCCAATGCTCAATTTATTCGAAATTATCAAGTCAAACCTTGATGACGATACCTATAAAGACAAACGTTTAATAGATCATAATACACATACATAATAATATCTTTTACCATAACTGTTGTTGTTAGCCACTCATAAAAAGTGTATGATTTAACCACCTTTTTTAGTGATAATTTTTCCACTCCAATAGTTAATAATAACTTCTTAACTGCTTCCTAGACCCGCAGGGTTCTTCTAAACCTCAAACTTAGACGACAGATAAAAGGTGTAATGTGAGGGCAAGCTTTACTTCAAGGTTAGTATATGCACATAAAATAAGAATGTTTCTAGATTTACATGTAACCATGACATTCTAGAAGCTCCAGGATTTATGCTAAATTTAGTAACAAATTAGATAGTCATATAATCCGAGAGCGACATATAATCTGTTGATCTTCTGATAGTTTCCGAGAGGTTTCTATTTGGTGCTGATCGAACAAACCATATATTTAACCCAGGCACCATTATTGTTGTTCTGTATGTGTCTGTTCATTAGTTCTTCCGTTTTGATACTGTCCGAATGTGAATTTCGTACCTTTTGTTAATTTATTTCAGTCTTATAAAAAGCTTTGCCTTATCTGCTATGGCTCGTCAGCAACAAGCTGGTCAAAATAAAAACTCGGAAGAACCAGCTGAGGATGCTGATATTGTGAATCAACCAGGTATTGGTCGTACTCGTGCACAAGACGAATGGAATGAAGATGATGGACATGAAGTAGGTTTGTATTTACGGAAACTTCAGTTTGCCTAGTTTCATTGTTAGGATTTGAACTTTGTTGTCTATATGACTAGTTAATTGGACATCTAAATCTTTCATTTTGATGTAGTTAGAATTCCCCCATTCAAATCTTGATCAGAATTGCCGACGTCGAAGATACGATTCATGGAAATATGAATTGGTGAGATAAAAAAATTATGCGGGATTCAGAAGCATAGAATCCAGGAGAGACAAAGAATGGATGTGATAAGTCTTCTAATTGATCGCTAGATTTAGTTCCCCCAGGCTAAATCTACACAGCGACTCGAATACGATAGAAAAGGCGCGAAATATGGGAGAAACGCTTTAGTCCAAAGGTTCGTTTATATACAGAAAATCTAGGTTATTTATAGTGTTTTGGATGGTCTTAGGTTTGCAGAAATATCTGGAAGGCTACTAAATATAGCAGCAGTATATGTAATCATCCAATCAGAAGCTCGACATGTGACTTGTCACTTTCTATATATTTGTGGCAAGACTTCTGTTGAATGCTGATTGGACAAGATGTTTCTTAGCTTTTCCAGAGCCTTTTTGGCTTTCTTTCGTGGAATTTTCTGGATCTCCCCAACAGGATGCATCTTCACCATTGCAAATGATTTTGAGTCATGCTATTCTAAGTCTATTTACTGGTTAGAGTAATCACTCCTTCCCCAACCAAGTAGCCTACACTTATTAACATAGGCCAGTCCAATTGGTGATGACCTCTGTTATAATTTTATGTCCGGCTTTTTATCACGTGATCTATCCACCAATCGAAATACGACTTATACAAACCTTAGCACTATGCCAAACCAATGACGTCCGACCGGTATGAGCAGCCTAGCGTCCTTATTGGTTCTATGTTCGCCTAGCCTGTCCGCTTGAGTCCAGAACACAATACCAGCCTCTGCAATATGAATCGAACCAAACCATTTATTTCAAACATACTCGGTCTATATATCAACCAGACAGACCACAACGTACCATAAAATAGAAAATAACATTTGTACACAATAAAGCCAAAAAGTGGCTGTGAACGTGGGAGACAGTAGTCAATAAACTGAACATAGCTTAAGAACCGTAAATCGTACAATAATAAATTATAGGTCAAAATAAAGCTTATAAATAGAGGAATATAAATATACATAATCTAATTGTTGAATAGTTATGCCATAAGAATATATAGATAATATTAGTCAATTAATATGTCTCAGAAGTTACTCGTGATTTAATCTTCGCTCGGATATAACAACTTCATGGAATGATGCCAGGTTTCGGTTTGGCAGATTCTGATATTCTCCCAGCCTACTCCTACACTAAACAGCATCGCTTGTCGAGGTAGGCGGTGGTTGGACATACGTAAGATGTGTCCTACTCACAACCTTCTATAAGTGGTGGTGTTGTCTAAGAAATTGAGAGGACGAAAAGCGAATTTCCAGCACCTTAATCGGGTTGGTGGATACACATGATCGACCTAGGGGAGTTGGGAAACCCTGATTCCAAACCAGTGTTTCCCATGACCTTCAGGATCCTAAGGAAACAGATGACGTATGAACCTATTCTTGGTCACCGGATTCCATTGGACTGAATCTCCTAAAGTTGTTGCACTGCCTTGTGGATTAGACCTTCAGGTCAAAGGCTTAGGATGTGACCCCCTAAGAAAACTACCTGCTTTGATTTGGGCACCTGGACAGTAACCCAGCCCTCATAAAAATCGATTGATTTGCGTGACTCATTTTTATTTGGTGCCCCCTTGTACCAAATTTTTATGTGTTTAAATGAATAAATAACTTCAAACACAACTATATCATCTCCACATTCTAAGTAAACAAGTGAATCTCCTGGTAGAAGATCAACCCCTGAAAAGTCAGAGGACGGAAGTGTTATCTCATTGAATTATATTAGATCCTGAATCTCTCACTGTTCCACCATAACTTATGCTTAAATCCTGTGGAAAGTGTGTTCGTGTATAAATAATAAAGAAAACGAAATTTATAAATATGAATAACCAACATTAAGTGAAAGAGATAAATAGTAAGCTGTAAAATGAACAACTTGTTGGTGAAAGTAATCTTAGATCATGATTCTGTAGGATTATCGTATCCAAATGCTGGATACGTTGATTGACATAGCTCTGAATCAATTGGAATACCATAGATACATACACTCTTTGTCCTCCCTTGCATCTTGTTTTTTTAAAATTATCTTTGATAAGTATGCTAAGTGAACTCACAATCTAGCTTCTTAACCGTGTCTGATAACCCCTGGGTTTAATCTAAATGGCAACACAAGAGCAAAAGCTTGAAATACGAAATAAACGTTTTTCTTCATGGTTATTTTTAGTTACATACGACCATGATTTTTCCGGGATTTTCTGGAATCGTACTAAATATACTAGTAGTTTTGGTTAATATCCAATCAGAGATGCTGCACGTGACTTCACTTTCTATATGTTTCTGAAAAGCTTCTATTCAACGCTGATTTCGTAGTGTATACAACCGTTTTCTATGCCCTTTTTTTGAGAAATACTTTGAAACTTTTTAACAACTTTACTCTTTTCATATGGGAATTCATTCATCCTTATCTAATTATACTGTCTATGCGTAATCTACTCTACTGATATTGTTACTACTCTTATTTCTTTGTCATTTGTCTTAACAATTTCATCTGATCGTGGTTATTTGGTGTGAAAAATTAAACTGATGCACAAGTGTGCCGAATTTTACGTCGCCTATGATTTGATCACCTTATACTAAAATAATACATTAAATGAACTACTAGTAAGAATTTTTGCCATTGAAATTTGAATATAATGTTTATTTAATTCGTTGTCAAACCCGACCTCTATACTTATCCAGTTACCCTTTTATGTTCATATCCAACAATCTTCCACCTCCTTTTCAATTATCCTAGAAACTCTTCACCATTTCGTATTATTTGTTTGAGTCACAGTTAAATGTGTTTTACATTATAAGTAGCTTTATGTTACACTGCCAGCATATTTCAAAAGTCAAATAAAACATTCTCCAAATCGTTTTTGTGTATAAACCATGGTTTTTCACAAAAAAAGTTTTTCTTTAAAACTATATCAACAGTCAAGTGCTGAGTTTTTCTTAAAAAACCAGTTCATATTTAGTTATACAAGCAAACGATAGTAATTGAAGTTACTATTGGGAAATATGGTTCAATAAAAAGTGGGGTTTTTTGTTTTCTATTCATTCTGAAATAACCTAAATCAAAATTTTACTACTAATTGAAAAGTCTACTTATATTCTCATATATTTTGTGGCTTATTTACCATGTTTTTAGGTAAGTTATTTAAAAATTTACGGTTTGCCAGTGGTTGCTTTAAAATACTTTCCTAATGAATTATATCTCCTAAATGACTGAGTAGTAGTTGTTATAACATCACACAGTATGTGGTGTCTTATTTATAGGCACTGACATATTAATCTCTATTGCTCCACTTGATACTATTGAATTAGATTTTCAAATCCTAATGTTACCCCTAGTGCAGTGGTGTCTCAGTGGCTAAGGCGTTCAGACTTTAGCCATTGGATCTTAGGTTTGATTCCCGCTCCACCTAACCTCGGTTTAAACAACTGGGTATTTTCACTATCCTACACTTGAAGCCATTTACTCGGATCTGTACCTGGCTAGTGAGTTAACTAAATTCAAATTATTACCCTTATCTAACCTCGTACTCATAAATGAGACTTCGATACTTTTATTTTTTGCCCAATACAGTAGTGAATAATAGAAATTGTTGTAACGACTTAGCAGATACTCATGACCGTCAATATTTTCAAATTTCTAAAAATAATCATGAATCAATTTGTCATCAACTATAATAGTTATTGTTTCTCCCTCCATCTCGGTCTCTTATCTCGAAATAAAAGTCTATTTTTAAGATATGATTTTTGATCTCTATATTTCCAGGCTATCAGACGCCGGCGTCTCGAAGCAAATGCCGAAGAGGAAGATATTACTGGTGGTGATAATAATCGTCGTAAAAATGGATCTGATCTGGATGAATTGGTCGATTTAGACTTAGACGATGAATATGATGCTGAAGCAGCCGAACTACATGAAATTGGACAAGATCGTGAGAAAGATGACGGTGACGATGAACAACAAGACGATAATGGTAAATGGCCTTGGAATGAATTATCTCCATCAAGTAAATTAAAGATGCTTCTTGGCAATCCTTCAAGATCTGAACATAAAACCACTACTTCAAAAGGTACAAATTCTGATGAATTTATCCAATGGACTGGTGATCCTGAATTAAATCAGTCAGATGTAGATGATGAACGGGAATTAATCCAAGAAAATATGGAACGAAATATAGAACAAGAGAATGCTATAAGTCATGATGAAGCTCGCAAACGGATAACGGTAATTCATTTTTATTAGTATTTGTATCAATACTAGTACACTGATATTATAAGTTACAATAATTTACAAACTATTATTGGTCACTACTTTCTAGAGATATGTTCTCCTTACATTTGCTACTTAAAATGTATTTTATAACCATTTGGATAGTTTTACATTTTTACAGTTATTTTATTTCAACTGACTGTTTTATGATCTCTTTTGTCTTGTTTATTTCCTACTTTGTCACTTGTTCCAGGATTGTACGAGGTTGTGAATCGTAACTATTTGTTTACCTCACAATCCAGGTTTTAATTTGCTCTTAATAACACATCAACACGTTGCATTCTTTCAAATGAATTCTCACTTTCGATGCACCATTCAATTCTTCCTATCAAACAGTAAATTTTCCGCTATACGTAGGGTTCAGAATAGTCATTTTAATACTAATGGACTTTTAAAAGTTGTTCTTTTAAAAAATAGTTAAAACAGTCACTATTTGTTCGTTTATGTTCAAGGGAATATATTAAAATTCATTAAGATCAGTTCATAATGTTGCGAACGTAGTTAATTATGTCTCATCTACGATTTTTGTTAGTTTAGTTGATAGCTTTTTTATTTTCACCCCCGAATGCCCTGGTACGGCCGAGAGTGGGGTGAGTCCGCTCTCCCTCTCGAAATACTCTCACACGGCCGCGCGTATACAGCCTCTGCCAGGGAAGTCCTACTCATTGCCTTCTCGTGGCTGGGGTGTTGTTTACGAAAATGAGAGGACGAAAAGCGAATGTCCGGCGCTTTAACCGGATCACAAACCAATGGTGCACATGGGCTCCAGTATCCTGCGGGAACAAATGGCGTATGAACCAATCTTTGGTCACCGGCTACCATGGGATTGCATCTCCTTACGATGCTCCACTGCCTTGTGGGTTAGACCTTTAGGTCAAAGGCTCGGGGAGTGGCCCCCTAAGAAAACCACCTGCTTCGGTTTGGGCACCCGGGCAGTATCACAGCCCACACACAAACGATGAACTCTATGTCTTTGGCAACTACTTTTATCGCTCCGAAAAACAATCAGTCGACTCAAATAATTATCATTACTATTATTGTCATTATTAATACTATTATTATTACTATTATTGTCGTTATTATTATTATTATTATGATTATTATTATTATTATTTCCCACATTATTCACCCTCTTTTATACTTATACAGCGGCTCGTCTTTGGTGGAAATCCGACTCTATCTAAACGTTCTCGAGTCACTGTCCGGTTGAAAGTTGTATGTTACCATCGAATATGAATACTGAAGCAGTTTTTCTGAAACCACGTGCGCCATTCAAACTGGCTGCCTTCAACGTTCGCACACTTATGCAGGTTGGTCAACAGATAGGGCTGGCTATGTCTTTGGAAAGTCTTAATATTGATGTTTGTTGTCTATCCGAGACCCGTATTCAAGACTCTAGCGAAGTACTACAAATTCGCTCTACATCTGTCACTTCAAAAAGCTTGTTTTACGTGCGCTTATCCGGGGACCCTGTGGCATCTTCGTCTGGTCTTGCAGGCGTTGGTGTCGCACTAAGCGCTAGAGCTGAGGCAGCACTAGTCGATTGGATCCCTATTAACAGTCGGTTATATGCTGTTAGATTAGAAAGTTCCATCAAAGTGAGAAGAAATCGGCGTGAGAAACGATGTCTTTTCGTCATCTCCGCCTATGCCCCGACAGATTGCAGCCCGGATGCAATCAAGGATGAGTTTTACCACCAGTTATCTGTTCTTCTCCAGAAAGTGCGTTCGACAGATATTGTAGTACTAGCCGGAGACTTGAATGCTCAGGTCGGGCGTCTAGGCACAGAAGAGAGTCGTTTAGGTGGCCGATGGGGACTGGACTGGACTCTGACCATGCCTTGGTCTGCGCCAATCTTGCCTTACTTTTCAGTGGCCAACGAAGTGACCACCACCAACGGATTGATGTTAGCAAGCTGGTTGCAACTTCTGTTGCAAATAAGTATCGAACCGAGCTAGCCTCTAGGCTAGCTACCACTCCACCGAAAAGTATAGATGAGCATTGGTTGCAATTGCATGACGCCATGAAAATGGCGGGAACAGTCAGTTGTGGGTTTGCGAAACATCCCGCTTTTAAGCACTGGGTTTCTTCTGGTTCCTTATAACTCATTGAAGCCCGTCGGTCTACTCCGGGTGACCGTGAGTTTGACCATAAACGAAGGATGTTATGTAAGGAAATTGGGCAAAGCTTGCGTAAGGACCGAGAAGCCTGGTGGTCGAAGCGTGCTAATGAGCTGGAAGCAGCAGCTGCATCTGGTAATTACCGGAAGCTCTTCCAGCTCATCCGAGCCACTGGCAGCAAGAAGTCTGGTGTGAGTGAAACAATCTGCGAGGATGATGGGATGCCAATCACTAACATCCATCGACATCTTGGACGGTGGGCAGAATTTTTCGAAGGGCAGTTCAACTGGCCTGTTGCTCCGGCAACATCGGTCAGACTGTCCTGCCCTCCATGCCCGGTGACGACTGATCCACCAAACGAGGAGGAAGTCCGCAAGGAACTCCAACTCTTGAAGCGTTACAAATCACCTGGCCCAGATGACTTACCTCCGGCTCTTTTTAAAGATGGTGGTGACTTTTTGACTAAGGAATTGACGACGTTGTTTACAAAGGTTTGGGATGGTGGTCAGTGCATGACATGGTGTCGTGGCATGAAAGAAAGCTGCAAAGGACTGGCTTGTGTTGGTCCTTCACGACTCCCTGGTTGGGGTCTGAGAGATGGTGCTACACAGTGGCTAGAGACGTTATCAGATATGGCTCAGAATAGAAGCCGATGGCGATCCTGCTGTAACCTTCTTTTACTTTCTTCATAAAAAGTGGTTGTGTCTCCCTTACCTGAAAGATTTCTTCCGATTGTACCTTTGCGTTCCCTGATTACTAGCACATTACCTTACACCAATCTCTTCGTTATTGTTCTCTCTTTTTCTTTTGCGCCCCTTAGTTTTTTTTTGTTTTTTTGTATTTCTCTTCGCATTCTCATTGTTTTGTGTGGCGCATATGTATTGGCGTTCTCTTGTACCAATATTCATGTGTCCAAATAAATAAATATTTTCAAATTTAAATTCAACCCATCTTTTTTGATACTAATCTATTTGGAAGGTGCTTACACTGCAATATAGTTAGGAACAAATTAGGCGTTACATTTTCATCCAATTATCTGAATGTTACTAACGTAAATTAAGCCCCCTATCCCTCTCGGACCCCTGGGTCAATAACCAGGTATCTCCAAGTAGCTTTGCCCTGGGTTCTTTCTAGTTCTTGTCAAGTGCTATTCATTTTTATATGCTTGCCTCCAAGTCCATGTACCATGTGTTTTTGGCCTGGTTTTTTTCGTCTGATCTTCGGAATTCCAAGATAAGGCTTGCTTTGTGATTCAGTTCAATTATTTCCATAAAATGAGACCTATTCACACCCAACATCTTTTTCTAATTTTCTTCTCTGATGGGAGCTTGTTTGCTCTCATCTACTGTTGATGGTCCCTGACCAATAACTCTAGAGTATCTTATGTAAACAGCCATTTATAAATACCTATACTTTCTTATGATGATAGTTCTGGTAGCTCTCTAAGTTTTAGTTCCATAAAATAGAACCTGTAAAATTTGTGTTGAAGGTCCTGATTTTGGTGTTGGACGACAGTCGTTTTAAGTTCCAGGTATTCGATTACAGGGATATTACCGTTACTTTGCCGCCTCTTGCTTTAATATCAACATCACATCAATCATGTTTATCGATGGTGCCGCCCTTACTACATAAAGGTTTAGGATCGACAGTAACACCGGAGGAGCTCCAGGCAGGGTTAGGTAATTGAATATAGTGTAATATATTCAGGTATCAGAACTTACTGTTGATTATTCGAAGAATGCCATTTGCTGAGGTAAATGATTTCCATGGGGTCATGTTTCTTGATAACATTACTTATACTTCCACGCCAGCTAATATGAAGTACAATTCCATGCATTATTTCTTCAAAATCCAGCCATCACTTTGTTGTATATCAGACTTATTGAGTATATATTCACTACTACTAACCAACCTATTGTCCCTACTACTCACTGATGAACATGTATATCAGTTACTTCAGTTTAGCAGTGATCTAATGGTGAAGGCGCTTGTCTTTCAAGCGCTTTCACGAAGGTCACCTTTGGCGCCTTCGTGATGTTAGTCTGGCTGTAAAAGGTCGGATCTACAACGCGTCGGTGAGAGCAGTTTTGCTCTATGCTTGTGAAACCTGGTCTCTCCGAGTTGAGGACGTTAGACGACTCTCTGTGTTCGATCATCGCTGTCTCCGAAGGATTGCTGACATTCAGTGGCAACACCATGTCAGTAATGCAGAGGCTCGGCATCGTGTGTTCGGGCACAGAGATGATAATTCAATTGGTGTCACCATCTTGAAACACCGACTTCGGTGGCTTGGACATGTTCTCCGAATGTCGTCCCAGAGAATTCCACGTCGTGCATTATTTGCCGACTCTGGGACTGGTTGGAAGAAGCGGAGAGGTGGTCAGTGCATGACATGGTGTCGTGGCATGAAAGAAAGCTGCAAAGGACTGGCTTGTGTTGGTCCTTCACGACTCCCTGGTTGGGGTCTGAGAGATGGTGCTACACAGTGGCTAGAGACGTTATCAGATATGGCTCAGAATAGAAGCCGATGGCGATCCTGCTGTAACCTTCTTTTACTTTCTTCATAAAAAGTGGTTGTGTCTCCCTTACCTGAAAGATTTCTTCCGATTGTACCTTTGCGTTCCCTGATTACTAGCACATTACCTTACACCAATCTCTTCGTTATTGTTCTCTCTTTTTCTTTTGCGCCCCTTAGTTTTTTTTTGTTTTTTGTATTTCTCTTCGCATTCTCATTGTTTTGTGTGGCGCATATGTATTGGCGCTCTCTTGTACCAATATTTATGTGTTTAAATAAATAAATAAAAAATAAAATTGGTCTTCACTCGTAAAGTGTGGTTCAAAGCTGAGTAGTTGTATCTGTACTTGGGCAATGAGTTACAATTTATATTATCAGAATGGGGATTTGTGGACATTGTAGTAATTTTAATAGTTTAATTCCTGTGTCAATCTAGGCTAAAACATCATTGAAAACCTGGAAGTACTGAACTGCCGTTTCGTCCCAGTACGAGACTCCTCGGCAGTGCTCATCCACAATCCCTCACGCGGGACTCGATCCCGGGGCCTTCTGTCTCCCACGCAAACGCCGAGCCCCTAGACCACTGAACGAGCATCTAACAGTGTTTAATTTCGATCGCCCCATTGTCTTGCTCAACCCTTCATTTATTGTCCGAAGTGGATAACTGTCTCCACCCAAGACGTATCGGACTCCACTGGTTATGGATTTTCACTAGAACTCTGGGAAGCATATTTTGAAGCTAGTGACTAGTGAACACATGGTTATTATCAGTATGGTGGTTTGTGCATGTTAGACCACCATTGAAAACTGTCCAGTGCTTCCAGGCTTTCAATGGTAATCTAGCTTATATCAACTGGTGAATCTATTTATCAAAATTACTACAATCTATATTACCAAATATTTTCAATCAGAACCGTGCTATTATAAAAACGAATATATATATATAGAGAGAGAGAGATTCCTAAGATTTCCTCATGTGAATCATGTCTATCATTATCCATTTTCTGTCTATCGATTTTTGAATAACTTCGCATGTGGTTTTATATATAAAGAAGTTGCTGTCGTTTATTTATTTTATTTTAAAAATCCCCATATTGTGAATTAGAATAACAAATATAAGCGAACAATATTGTTTTCGATTAGATCCTCATAAGGCTTTACTCTAATATACAGTAATATTTATATGCATATAAGAAATTATTAAATAAATCAAGGCAGTTGATGAGTCAGTGATAACAGTACGATAGATCACATAAATAAACATCATAAGTAGAAGATTTTATTTATTAGTATTATCCATACCCTTTCTTCACTCACACCTTTTTTTTCTTTATCAAATACATACACTTCATTGTCCCATTATTCGAACACTTCTTATTACATAATCCTACAATTTTTTATGAATGTCTATATTTTCCAAGTCATTGATTTACCCTCTTATTATGAAACATTAATTCAATCCTTTATTATTCTTATCACAACTAGTACACCTGTCATCACGTTATCAATTTCTACTTTTTACTTATTACGTTTATATATTTGTATAGCTAAATTGTTTGGTCTTCCATCCCAGCAATTTCGCACTGTCTTACTGGTATTATTTTGAGAAACTTATGTGTTTGTGTTGTTACTAGCTTATATGATTTTATCTTAAAATAAATAATCCTAATAATTTCTTAATATTTTACACAACCATATTCTTCTCGTTGTTTCTACTTCCTCCTGTTCATATCATCAGTTTGTTACCAGCCTGCATGCTCGTTTCAGTGGTTACGATTTCGACAGAAAAAATTCATCGCCGAAATGGGCACGTCTTACAATTTGTGTAAGTTAGTTGTTTTTGTTGTACTTTTCGTCTTCATTGTCGCTTCCATTTTATGTTGTCAGTCGTATTTAGTCTTCATGAATTTCCACTGAAAAAAAGTTATCTACTGCTTGAAAATTGAATTATGTGTTTGTCATTTTTTTCTCTTTCTAAATGGAAGAGCTTTTTATGTACTGTTTATTACAATAATGTCTTGCTCTGTTTTATACAAAAGCCTACAGTTTAAGATATCTTTTTTTAAACATTTATTTATATGTTCAAGTTCTTCTTAGTCTATCATTAGGCTCTTGATCTACAATTTATTTTTCCTGATCTCTTATAGTTTTTCTTCCTTCCTTAAATTAATATGCTTACTGCGTAAGTGGGGAAAATGCTCAGATCACTGTAATACAATAGTCTTTCACTTGTTCTAAAGTATAACTATTAACTCATGTTATCCTTATATGATGTTAAAGACTACTCAACGTATAGTTTACATCACAGATAACAGTTAGATAAATATTTCAAACCATAAAGCATTGAGAAGCTGTTTCGTTTTACTATTGAACTCCACAGTAGTGCGAAAATTTGATTTTTACATGACAAACAACAATTGTTGATTCACATATTACAATTTTAAATGATGCACTCTGCCTTAAATCTGGCCAATTTTATGGATTATTAATTTGGATTTATAATTTTAGAACCTGATAAGAACTTATAGAAAAGAATATTCTTCGTTCATATAATTGTGTTTTCAATGATTGCCCAACTATACTCAATCCATGATTTAATTTGGAACTTGAAAGTTTTCGACAAACCTGCAGTATCAGTCAATTAGTTCATTTTCATTATTGACAAGTTGATCGTTAACATTCACAACCCTCACACACCATTCTTTATGTGATTATACAATGATTAAACCTGGTCTTCTCTATTAAGCTTTCACTCATTCTCAATGACAATGAACTTGAAACAATCCAGATACATAAAAACATTGTTAAACAATTATTACTAGTTCAGTTATGATTCACTAAAATATACCGTATACGTGAAACTCACTAGATGTTTTCAGTGACCTATCTGCTACTTATAATCAGCAAATGTTTTTGACAATTATTTATTGAAAGTAAATTTAACGTGGCTTTCGGTGTTGTTGTTTCATAATAGTGAGAAAACTTACGAGAAATCAGTGAATTTTGTAAATGAAGGATTGTACATGACATTTGACAAATTTTTATTACTGTCATACTTGAACAGAGAGATAACGTAATACACTCAATAGTCATTGTTCTTGTTTAAATAGAGAGAAAATACAAGAGATAATAATATTGATTATTACTACCATTAGTAACCAAGAGAACTTTTAGCACACTTTATGCAAACCTGTGGTTTTCTTTATTTCTCATATCTTAGTCTAGATCGGTCACTTATATAGCCCATTGTTGATTTTTAAAATAAACATAAACTGATATTTGAAATAGAATATTGTTTTTTTTGCGACTGTGTTTTACTCATCCTTATGCATATATAATATTATCATTTATCACCAGATGTTCGATCCAAACGAAGGACGTATATCTATTGACCTAGAAACTTTAATTATGCGCCTTATTAATCGAAGCGTTGTATCCTCGGTATCCGGTATCGAAAAGACCATTATTGATCGTTCAAAACCAAATCAATGGATGTTCCGAGTTGAAGGTATAAACATGATTGTAAGTTCCATAAAATTCTTATTAGATTTGTAAACATTTATGGCTACCGGTTAGGCTAGTGAACCGTTCTTATACACTTTGAAACATCAGGTAAATTAACATCAATTTGTTTTACAGTACGCTGTCACTTTAATACTTATTCATATACTGCTTACAAGTAATTTGGAACAACAAATAAACTAAAAATGATAACTGGGAAAATATCTAAATATTACTCTGCTCTGTTATACCGGTTGTTGCTATCTTTCTTACAGCTAGTTTCTTAAACTAAGCAGCTTTGCTTTTTAAACTGACATCAGTAATGATTATGATTGGCGTTCTTTCTTCTTCGTGTGTGAAATTTCTTCATGGAAATAAGCCATTTTCATTGCTGATCTTAAAAAAAGAATCCATTCAGTTATTAATTTAACCGTGCTCTTGAAAATCAGTAATAATCCATCCAGCTCAGAGAACAAAACTCCACCGAAATCAGTAATAATCAGTTGATTATTGTCAGGAAGCTTGCTATATTCAGTGAATATACTAAAGAGGATCTACAAATCTTTCGAACTGTAAGTTGGTTGATTTTATCTTGAAACACGTATTTGATGTTTTCTGCTCAAGTCTCACACATTGTCATCATAGCAACATCTTTCTGCCAAAAAAAAATTACAAAAGGCTATTCAACTATGAAATGTGCTTGAAAATTGTATATCATTCAATTCTCTTCAGAATGTAGGAAAGTTTCATTGAACTGGCTTTGTGATCACACATAAGATATGGTCAATAACTTAATGAATTGTTACGTGTTTTTATCCATATTCCACCTTTCTCTCTCAAATTGTATATGCAGGAGATGATGCGTTATCCACAAGTGTTTGATTTGAGTCGACTCTATACTAACAACATCACTGTAATGAATGAAACATACGGTATTGAAGCTGCTCGGGCAGCACTTCAAAGAGTACGTGTTGTATTATCATTACTATTACTATTTTTATTAACTTTTCCCAATAAGAAAAACAATGTGTAATGTTCTAATTTATGTGATTGTAAATATTTGTGCACTTTTTATATATCTGTTATGAAATCTTTTTTATGATATGTTACCCGGTCACTTTTTAAGATCAGCTAGTGTTCTTTTTTCAAATGTTGAAGTAATGGTTTTTGGTTGTTAAACCAAACTGTTATAACGCTCGGTTTTACTTCGTCTAATGTTATAACGATTGGGTTTCCACGTTTACATGTATGGGACGTTAATTTGCCTTAGACGAATATCTACACTAGATTCACTCTGTGTCTATTCTACAGGACTTCAACACAACTCAGATCTAGAACACGTGATTATCCTGACCACAACGTAAATATATATCCACACCAAAAACCGACACAACCCAACAACAATGAACAATCAATAATAACTGATTTAAAACAATTAGTCACTTTGATAAGTCTCGATAACGCAGTGAGAAGACGAAGTTTATCAGAATTATGTAAACTGATAAACTTCGTCTCCTCATTGCATTATCGGAACAATAACTGAGTAATAATAATAAGGATAAGGGAATATACAATTCATCTGACACCTGTAAGACTATCTAAATGTCTGACTAAGCAGATAACCAATCATTATCACTCGCCCATACATCACAAACCATTTGTCTTTCAATTACTAAACCTCAGGTTCGAATCCGTCTTTCTACCTACTTCTGTTTAAATAACCAGATGATACTATTAACTACCATACAATTAACATGTGTATGGTTTAAAGCCGAATAAAACAGATAGTACTCGGCGAACAGATTAAGTATTGAGCTTTAGCACATGCACAAATTTAATTGTTTCATGTAATTGAAAATTTAAACACTAGTGAAGACTCATAACTATGTTATTGTTACTATTTTACTCTTAGGAAGTATCTGGAGTCTTTGGTCATTATGGGATTCATGTGAATTCACGGCATTTATCACTAATTAGTGATTATCTTACAAAATTTGGCGTTTATCAGGCTTTTAATAGACGTTCAATGAGTTCACATCCATCACTGCTTCAGCAAATGACCTTCGAGACTGTTGCAAATGTTTTAAAAAATTCATTACAAAATGGTAGTTCTATACTATTTTATTTGTATGTATTTATGTATGTGTAACTGTCATAGTAGTTTTTCTTACCAATGTTGATCATAATTTTATAGAATTTCGATTTTGAATTCATTATGCTCGCAATCTAATTGAAATAGTGCGTTGATTACATTTTCCTATTTCGAAATAGTAACTGATTAAAGCAAGAACCAGCTTGTTTAACAATTTTCTGTGCAAAAATGTCTTAATTCAAGTGAATTAAGAGAGTGAAATGCATGTTTTTCCTGATATGGTTTGGCCATTCGAACCGATGTATGTGTATCAGGTTCTGTGTTGTTTATAACTGATTAACTGATCTCAATTTTAAAGGCATGTTATAAAAAACCAGTTTTCACAGGAATTTCTGAAGATATCACCTCCTACTATAGTTAGTCACTATGTTAAAGTTGGAAAAAGATTGCTGGAAACGTAACTACGTATCATGTGTGTTTTCCATCAAAACTCCAATCATTATCTCTATATGCGTTTTTAATGTCATATAAATGAAATATTTTCTATAACGTATATGAAATGAGTTACCACAGTTTCGTATCATTAAAGATTTTACCAAACCGTATTTTACTTTATACAGAGTGATGATCTTTTTAAAAAAAAACTAAATTTTCTAGACTCATCAGTGAGTAAACACAGTAATTTATTTATTCCTAGACAACATTATCTACAGCATGTATGATACAATTTCTCTGATTCGTTCCACCGATCCAAAGTGCCAATTGTCAGTTGTCATATATCGACTCACAAATATAGTATTTAAGTACTCTTAAGAAAACTAATAGTATCTCTTTTTTATTACTTTATCGCATCACAATTCCAGTTGAAATCTTACATATATAATAGTGTCATTTAAGACAATTTTCAACGATAGCCCATGAATAAATTCTTGTTGTTGATGAAAACCAGCATTTTTGTTAGGTTGTTAAAAGTAATCTACAAAAAAACGCTGGATCTAGGTTCCATTTTAGTTGGCAATCGTCAACAAGCTAAAACTGCTGTCTTAAGCGAATCGACGTTGAACGTAGGTTTTAAATATGCATCATTTTCTCTCACAGTTTGGCACCTGGGCATTCTCAACTAATTTTCATGATATCAAACTTTTATTTCTCTTTTGTAGTTTATTTACATAATGATTTGTTTATAGTTTGCTTTTTTACAAGAAAACAAAGTCGGAAATTACAGTAAATTAAGTGTATCCTACAAAAACTATCATTCTAAATCTGTTTGAATTTATAATTTGTTCCATTTTATTACATCCATTCTATTATTTTACTTTTTACTATTGTGTAGATTCTATGGACAATTTAATTTCTCCTTCAGCAAGTTTAGTTACTGGTCGAATAGTTCATTATGCCGGAACAAATTGTTTTGAACTACTTCAAAAGTTGGCTTGTTAAATAAAATACACATTTTATCAATAAGAAATCAATAGAATTTTATGTGTACAGTCATACCTTCAATGATTTCATGTATGTATGTGTATGTACAAAATATTTCCCAGATTGAAATTTATGTAAATATAAAACAGGAAAATAATTGCAATCGTCTTTTAATTAGTTTTTCTTTTTGCTTTTGAAATCCTATTGAAGATTTTTATCACTAATTTGTCACTTGTCTTAGTTATATTATTGCAATATAATCAGACTAAAGATTTTTTACATTTTTCTTGTATCTAATAATAGATAAGTCAAAATAGGTTGTTGTCGTTTGATTTGTTCTCATTGTTACTAATACACCACAGAATTTTAACGTAAAATTATTCAAGATTACTTGATAAATATTAAGTAGCATACTCATTTATCCACTGTGTTAACTCGATGTTTTTGACATGACGGATGGTTTAAAATATTTTCATCACACTGATATATAATACGATAATAAAACTAGTCACGTTGTATCAGAACCAGGATTCACAACCTAGAATAGAGAACCAGATTAACACTACATAATACTTCATTCAATACAATTACAAGCAGTCACATTCAGTGAGTCCAAAGTGAAAATCAATAACAGGAAAGGACACCACATATTTAATGGTTAGTAAGCTGTCTGTTTGTCCACACTCAACGACCAATCATATACTGCTTTGAATACCACATATCAATTTCATGAAATGATATATATATATATATATATATATAATGTGCATTATGCACCAAGACTGTCTTTGTTATTACTCTTACTGAGTATCACATTACTGCACACCGTAGAGAGATCATTATCTAACCAGTTATTATTGTTCAAATAATTATAACTTGAGACTATTAGATTCAAAACCATATAATAATAAATATTCTGTAAACTATTTTGTCCCTATATCTTATATTACGTAGTCTGTCCGAGGAATTACCAGTTGATCTAAACAAGTAATTAGAAAGTATACGATTGTATAAAATCAAATAGATAAGGATTTAAAAAACCAGATTTATATGGAAGAGGGAAATTAGGGATAAAGGAAAAGTTAGCAAAAAAACTTTCAAACGAAGTGCATTAGAACAGGATAATCCAACATGGAGGGAATTGCTATTAGTCCTCATTTAAGATCGTTATTCAGGGAAAAGAGAATCCAAGCCGTTTGACGTGCATTCGTGTCAGTATTTGTCATAGATCCTGTTGATGCAATTATCTACATAACCTGAAGTCTGACTGATCTCTTGAGGTCCGGTATTGTTGGACCTCAGTTTAACGTCGTATTCATGGGGAACGTAAGGGTTTGAAGACAGTATTCATCAATTTGTCTCTACGTCTGATAGGCAAAAATATTAGTCTCTTATTTAGATAAGTAGTAAGCAATCGAGATCGCTAGGCCTATGGTTACTGTTGTCCAAATAATTGCCCAGTCATTCCCACTAGCTTAACTGAATCATCATCTCTAAAAACTGGAGTCAACTAGCACATTATGATCATCCAATCTAGTTGGCTTTTTCCTTGCCCCCAAATGCCCTGGTACGACTGAGAATGGGGAGAGTTAACCCTCCCTCTCGAAATGCTCTCACATGACCACGCGTATATAGACACTATCAGGTAAGTCCTACTCACTGCCTTCTCGCGGCATTACTGCTTACGAAATTGAGAGGATGAAAAGCGAATGTCCAGCACCTTAATCGGGTTGGTAAATACGGAGGATAAACCTAGGGGAGTTGGGGAACCCTGATTCCAAACCAATAGTCCCAATGACTTTCAGGATCCTAAGGAAACAAATGACGTATGAACCTATTATTGGTCACTGGATACCATGGCACTGAATCTCCTAAAGTTGCCGCACTGCCTTGTGGATTAGACCTTCAGGTCAAAAGCTTAGAATGTGACCCCCTAAGAAAACTACCTGCTTCGGTTTGGGCACCTGGGCAGTATCACAGTTCACGCACAAGAGACTTGTGTGGCGCATATGTTTTCGGTGCCTTTTGTACCAATATTTACGTGTTCAAATAAATAATAATAAGGTTTGTTATCAGCCAAACTCCTTGTAATTGTTTTCCTTTTATTCTCATTTTATGACTGCATATGTTTAACTCAGATATCGGTTTGTTGCACCATGAGTGTGGTGAATATTCACGCAATTTTTCGTTATCTTTTAAATTAACTTTTTTATACACTATTAAATTTCATTTATTTTTAAGTTACCAAAGTTAGGAATTTTTTACCAACGCACTCAATGGATCAATATACAATAAATCACACTACGAAGTTATTACATCAGTTACACTTTAATATAGATCATTTATTAACTACTTTGGGTATAAAAAATTACTAACTACATAATTGTATTAATAATTATTTAAGTGTTTCACTTGTCATTCTTTATTCCCATAAGAAAATTATGTGAACTTCATTAAATACGATAATGCCATAATTGGTGTTCTACTTATTTATTCTTACTAATTCAATTCTCATTGTTTACATGTTATTATTGATAAAGTGAATTTGGCTTGGTAACCTTTTTCAAATTCCTCGCCCCTCAAATTTTCAATAATGTTAGTCATGTGTTTATTGTTATTACTCTACGTCATTGTTACCGAAATGTGTATGTCTAAATAATCTTTAAAGCTTTAATCTGGTCTAAGTGATAATAAATACATGATTATTAGTGTGAATAGTTTTTATTTTTTGTTAGTATTCATGGCTTAATCGGGCCGGTTAATTTTTTGGTAATACGAACTATTTTAATAGATAACTCACTATGTGTCTTATGAATTACATGGTAATTTTAATTTCTATGGATATTAATTGGGGAAGAATCTTCTATGGTGTGTATTTAGCCAAATTTAGGGACTTATTCTTAATCCTACTATTACCAACCAAATCAACTTGTAATTACGGATAATATTGAGTGTTTCAGTCCACAAGAGTTTATACACCAACAAATATTGTTCATAATAATTCACGGGAATCAAAACTAGAAAAATGTAAACTCTTACAAATAATAGTGATAAATATCATACTTTTATAGAAATTTATGGACTACCAAAACTGGATAGCTAAGTAGATATTACTCGGATGTTTAAAGCGTTAGGTTTTAATTTTAGAGTAAATATTATAACTGGTATACGGATAAATTCAACTGAGGAGTCTCAAGTAAGATAGAACATAGGTCTTAAAAATGTCAATAACTTTTGTGTTCTAAAGATGTGTTTAGAATTTGTTTACAATCCAATCGCAAGATCATTACCATATTTCTATACTAGGTCGAAATAACTGTTCAGTGTTAGCTTTACTGTCATTTGTTATCCAACTGATATCAATCTGTGGGGAAACTAATCTCTCTATCCAACTGATAAATATTGTAATCTACAAAACTGCAGACTTAATGTCAGTATCAAGAATGGTAAATTTATTCGTGATCAACATCCATTAATCTTGGTGGTTTGTGTCATACTATGGACAATCTGAAATTCCACCAATCACGTCTTACTTGAAATTTGAGGATTCTACTCAATGTTAATTACTAGTAAGCATAACATTCATTATCAGGACGAGAGGTCTTTCATAATTGTTCAATTTGATGACAGTTATTTAACTAACATCAGTATATGCTACAAAATGAACAATCTTCATAATCATTTCGTCGTAATTATGAATCGGTTATTGAATAGTAAGTCAAATCACAAGCAGCTTGCCAAGAATTAGTTCCTTTCAAATCAATTGCTTGTTATTACAATATAATCAAAAATTACACTGAATCACGGTGTTGTATATGGTAAACACATAATATATGTCAATAATGATTTCCCAGTGAATTTACTTATAACTATATGATATAACGAAGAAGCTGGCAGAGAAATATGGTGAACTAGAATGACCTGTCAAGAAAAAAATAGGCAGGCCAGGCACTGCTATTCAAGAACAGTGGAACAGGTGGGTAGAGCACTATGAAGAACTCTTGAATAGACCAGCACAACTGAAACCACTGGATATCGAAGCAGCACATTAAGACCTTCCGGCAGCTATCACCCATCAACGATCGAAGAAATCAGGATGGCCATCAGACAAATCACAAATGAGAAAGCAGCAAGACGTGACAAGATACTAGCTGAGGCACTGAAGTCAGATGTAAAAGTAACTGCAAACACGCTCTACGTTCTATTAAAGAAGATTTAGGAGGAAGAACATGTTCCATCAGAGTGGAAAGAAGGATACTCCTTCAAGATACCAAGGAAAGGAGATATGAGCAAACGTGAGAAATAAAGAGGCATTATACTACTATCAAAACCAGGAAAGGATTCCAACAGAGTGTTGCTGAACAGGATGAAAGATTCAGTAGACGCCTAACTTCGAGATCAACAGGCTGGATTCCGTAAGGATCAGTCGTTCACAGATCGAATCGTGAGACCACGGATCAATTTTGAGCAGTCATTTGAATGGAACCCGTCACTATACATTAATTTCCGTGACTACGAGAAAGCATCTGACAGTGTAGATAGGTGAACATCATGGAAACTTCTTCGACTCTATGGAGCACCTGAGAAGATCGTCAACGTCATATGGAATACGTACGACGGCTACTCTGTAAAGTCGGGCATGATGAACAGCTAACATACGCTTTCGAAATGAGGACCAGATTCAAACGATGTTGCTTACTCAGCTCCTTTCTTTCCCCCCTGGTGGTTGACTGAATTATGATCACATACACATCTCAGGAAAAGTACGAAACATTATGAACACGTTGGATACAGCTAGATGATTTGGACTTGGAAGATAACCTAGCTCTTCCATCCCATACACACCAACAAATATCACTGAAGATAGTCAGTGTAGCAGAAGCCTCTGCATCGGTAGACCTCAACATACACAAAGGAAAAATCAACATCCTCAAATACAACACAGAAAACACCAACTCAACCACATTCTATGGAAAAGCTCTACAAGATGTGCAATCTCTCACGTACCTCGACAACATCGTCCATGAACAAGGAGGACCCAACGCAGACGTGAAGGTGAGGATTGACAAAGTAAGGACAGCACTCCTACAGTTAAAGAACATATGAAATTTAAAACTACCGTCAACCAACATCAAAGTGAGAATCTTCAATGAGAATGTCAAGACAGTTCTACTGTACGTACAGAGATTAAACTTGCAGGACTACCACAACTATAATCAAAACAGTACAAGTATTTATGAACAATTGTCAATGTAAGATACTTTATGTCCGTTGATCTGATGCCATCAACAACAACCTACTGTGGTAGAGAAAAACCAAGTTGGAG